GCAGATTGCAGAATCACGTCGGTTACACATCCACAATTTTACATAATGCCCTATTAGTAATTGTTGTATTCTGCTACCTTTCCTATCCTCTACTATCCCCCCTCCCCTTCCCTCACATCTTCTCTCTCTACCCCATCTACTGTAATTCATTTCTCTCCTTGTTTATTTTCTATTTGTCCCATTCACTTGTATTCTTTTCTTTCCTTTTATCCCTCATATTTTGTACTTTGCATGTCCTTACTTCTTCTATTTGGGATATATATATTTTACTACTCCCTTTAAAGGCTATCACATTGATCATAACATGCATTCTTATTTAATAGGGTGATAACTGTTTATCACTGTCATCCCTTCTTAGATAACTCAAGGATCTTTGAACACTTTAATTCCAGTGACTCTCCTAATTTTGGGTGGCTCTGTCTATCTTAAGTTTCATTCAATCTGTGACAGTCAACTTCCACCCCCTCATGACATCAATGTTTTAGGGGTCAGGGGTGCTCTTACAGGCCAGGCAAGGGTTCTGCCCCAGAGTTATGACTGTTGACTTTTGAAGACCAGGGTGGTTACCTTATAGAATGGCCTGCCTTTTTGATTTGTTTATTTGCTCTTGGTTTCATTTACCTTTTCTTCTTTCTCATCTACTTTCTGGAAACCAAAAGTGAAAACTGGCCAAAGTAGATTTAGGGTGCATACATTTACCTTTGGATTTTATATTTTGTCACATTAGGGACATGATAAGTCAACCTCATAATAAAGTGTCCAGTGTGCTCTCTAATACATAAAAGATCAATAGCAGAGTTTCTCAACTTCAATACTAGTGACATTTGGGGCTGGATAATTCTATTTTTGTAGGGCTGTCCTGTGCATTTTAGGGTAGTTAGAGATAGGGTACTTAGAATTCCACCTACCAAGAGCATCCCACAGTCATAAACAACCAAAAATGTCTCCAGACATTGCCAAGTGCCCCCAGGGGGCAAAATTTGTCCCAGCTCAGAATCACTGGTATACAAAAAAAACTCAAGTATTTTTGATGAATAAATAATCCTCAAGCACTTATTAGCATGCCTTGTTCAAAGATGTTAGATTAACAGCTAAATGGAACATGATCCCTGACTTCAACACACTCAGTTTTGAGAAGAGACAATCTGAAAAATAGGAAATTGAAATATGGCACCAAAAGTTTTGTGATAGGGATAAGCGTGTTACTATGGGAGGAAGATGCTATGGTTTGGATGTGGTTTGAGTGTGCTGTGCCTCTAAAAGATCCATGTGTTGAAAGCCTACTCCTCCATGTAGTGACATTTAGTGGTGAAGCCTGGTAGGAAGTGACTGGGTCATCGGAGCATCACAAGCCTCAGGGATTGAAACCTGTCTCACAGAGTGGGCTAGTTGTTCTCCAAAGAGCAAGTTGTTATGAAATAGCAAGACTATCCCCTCCTGCTCTCCAGCTTCCTATCTCTCTATGAGGTTCTTCTGTCTCACATGTGCTCCCACTATGATGCCATTACCATGATGTGACATAGCCAAAGGAGCCCTTGTCAGAGGCGAGGCTGATCTTGGGCTTGCCAGGCTCCAAAACTGTTTATTCCGTAAGCCTCTTTTCTTTATAAAGTACCCAGCTTCAGGCATTTTATTATAGCAACAGAAAATAACTATTGTAGAGATGCTCAACTCAGTCTGGAGCAAGTGTTCTTTCGTGGAGGAATAGAGAATTCTCAGTTGAAACCAGGAGGACAGACTTTTCTCCCCTTTCCCAGAAAGTTCCAAAAGGATGAACTAATAATAAATAGATCAGAAATAAACCCTCCATATGTGAATTATTGAAGCCCACATAATTTCTCATATTCTGTATTTCAGATTATGAGCAATAAAAATAATCAACCACTAAATATAGGAATATAAGTAAGGTGCAGGGGTRAGAACTAGAGATGATACTTCTTTAGTTGTTAACAGCAAATAGATGGTATTTGCACATTCTGTATATCACTTAGTCTGATTGGGGGCAACTGCATTATGGAAACCAAGTTCACAGCAGTCAGGATTCATGCCACACACATCCCCCTTCTTGTTGACACTGGAAGGCTTTGCCTCAAATGAGAGTACCTACCCAGCTGTGCACACTAGTCTAGCAGCCTACACTCCTATACTTCTTTCTGACCAAGTATTTCTTCAGCTCACTTGCAACAGAAGTTAGAGACTGGCCAGTCTTTGCACTAAGCATGTTTCCTCCACCTGCTGGGCACTACCTGGAAAGCTCTATGAGTTTCCTCAACCTCTGCTGCAGTTTGTGGTAGCTGCATGGTTGAATTCTAGCTCAGAGCATGTAAGAATGAAAGCACTTCTTCCAGCTCTCGGCCCTGAGAARCTTCATGTGCAGCCCTCTGTGCTGTCCTCCCTCCTGCTGGCTTGATGAAGACAAACTTTGGTATGTTGGAAGCCACCGTTTAAAAATGGTAGTCAAGGAGTGGAAAGAGCTGGTGCCTCTGAGTCACCACTTGGAGGGGAGAGGGCTTATCAGGGATGCCCATACCGCATTTCACATGATTAAGAGGTAAACTCTCCCTAATGTAAAGTCATTAAGACTCATGGCTTATCCAGTAGAACAGTCAGCAGTACCCACTAATACACCAAAGCAGAGAAATAGTCAGGTTCTGCTGCAACCATTACCCGTTTATTCCTCAKATATGCATGGTATGTCAGTGTTATTCACCAAGCCACAGAAAAGAGCCTTTTGACAGAACAGTTCACTGATATTCCCTGGAGTGAAATGGGTATGTGGGAGGCTATTTGCAAGGCCATTGCTAAAGATCACACTTCATCAAATGTCTGTAGCACAGGAATATGAAAGAATGTGGGCTTTGATGTCMGGCAGATGTGGCTTTGTATCTTGACACCTCACCCTGACAATTCCTTGTCTTAATCTCCCTGGGTCTTTGTTTCTTCATCTACAAAATGTGAGTAATAACACCTCATAGGAATTTTGTGGGGATCAAAGAATTGATAGCGTATAATGCACTGGCATAGCTCCTGKTGTGTCCAAAGTACTCAATTAATTCTTCCCAACAACCATGAAATTAACAAATTAGGAATGTATTTACCCTTCTAATTAGAAGACTAAGCAAGAGGTGGCCTTTCCACTAGGGATGTGTACTTATCTTTCTGTGTAAATGTTGATTATTTCATATAGAGGAACCAGCTTCAACAAACACTTTTATGTTTCCTTTGGTCTAAATAAGGAGGAGAATTTAAGTTTTCAGAAAGTTCAAAATCAAAGTGTAAACAAAGGCAGCATTCATTAATTTTATAACTTTTTCCCTTAAGTAAAATAAATGTCATATTTTCAAAGCAATAACAGCAGAACATATGCTAGGATTTGATGCAGAAGGAGAACAATAAATGAGACAGTTCACACAACAGAGGGTGGTGAGGCATTTTTCTGAGTAATATTATTGACATGAGATGAGATCCTTCCCCCTTCCCATGTGCACTTGGATAGAAGGACTTCATGGAAAAAAGTTGGCCCATCAAAAAGCTAATAAGGTGGTATCAGGCAGTTCCCTTCATCCAAGCCTATCTCTGTAAGCAAGCTTTGGAGACAGGTAAATAGAATTCTTTCAGGTGTGTGGTAGAACTGGGAGCTGTCGAGCCGCGCYCCCCCATCTGCAGGAGGGGGAGGCTGAAATGTCAGGGCAACCAGGATGCAGAGGAAAGCATGATGAGAGCCGCCCACCACCATGACTAAGTGCTCTTGGGGACAATCCCTGCTCAGAGGGCAGAAAGCAAATATCCAGATGTTATGAGCTGCCAGATGTGATTAACTGAGGAAAGGTGAAGCTGCCCACTTAACCATCTGAACAGCTCTCCTCATCAAAGTGACCCCAGAGTTTTCTGCAAAAGCATTCATCAACRAAATAGATGGAGGCTCCATCCCTCTCTCATCCTCGTCTCTTTTGCTCCCTCCCTCTGATAGAGTCAGAACAGCGGCCTATTTTTAAACCACTGGCAATGTGTTCTCTCGTGGAAACGTGTGGGCTTCCTGAGACAGGCTTATGCTCCCTCTGAGGAGAAACAGGCGCGCTGAAGGCTGCGCCCACTCTCCAGTCTTCCCTCTCCCACGGGAGTGTGGCCCAGGAGTCTGGAGAGGAGCCGGCTTGAGCAGGGAGCTTGCTCCCCATGCAGAGGAGCAGGGAGGATCTGATGTGACTTCCATGACAGGGCAGCTCCAGGCGGCCCTCCTCCAGGAAGGAGGGGAAGGCCAGGGCTTGGGTATAAACCTGCCCCATGTAAAGAAACMGAGAGAGCTGGAGGGGTCGGGAGCAAAGAGACCCCAGAGGCCGAGTCCAGCATCTTCTCAGGAAGGGGAGTTTAAGCAGATCTCAGTGCATCTGAGGGGCTTTCAATATAATAGAAACATTTTATTGAACATTGGAGACTCGTTTTAAACAAGGTCACAGACTGATTTACAAAACAAAACAAAACGTCCCCCCAACACTTCGAAGCCAGGACGTGTCCTTTACTTACAATCGCTCCAGCTGCTTCAGATCCTGGAAGGCGCCTCGCTCGATGACGCTGACCTGGTTGTCTTCCAGATGCCTAGAACCAAAGAGGCAGCGAGGGTCAAGGACAAAGCTGGACTGTGGATCCTCCTGTGAAGCCTCAGGCCATTCAGCCAAGGCTGCTTGGCCCCTCCACTGGGACCAGTTTGGTGGGACAAGATAATGCACATCCCAGCGTGGTGTCACGGCAACCAGGGTTTCACTGCCTGCACACTTCTACCTGACAGATTGGTTTCCAGGCCTCTATTTTAAGAATGTTCTTAGCAAATTCCCCCCAAGCGCTGCAGGATGTTGCATTAGAACAGAGAGAGGTAGAGATGCTKCTTATAGAAACCACACATCTCTTCCCTCAGAGGTCCCTCCTCCAAGGATTCAAAAATACTTCATTGAAAAGGGCCTTCCCTGCTCACCCTAGCAGAAGGGTGAAGCTGCTGTGAGGCAGCTGGCTGTAACTGAGAAAATCTGCCTGGTCCCAGGAACTTCTCAGGCCCAGGGCCTGGCTGAGCTCAACCTCATGATGATGATCCCAAAACCTCTGTCTTCCTGCACCCAGCCACGAGCCTTGTTCACCCCCTAAGCCTCCCAGAAGGTGATTTAAAAATCCTAAACACTCTGTTTAAGTACGTTTGATTCATGCATGTGGCACATCCTAAGAACTGCACATACAATAAAACATTTGCTCCCTACCTTAAGAAAAATAATGGCAGCTTAAAATGGATTAGCTGAACAGTAGGAAGGGAAGCCAGGAAGCCACACAGCTTCCATGTGGGTGGGGCCAGCCTGGGCCAGAAAAGGATGCGGATCGCATTTGGTGGCTGAATGGGATCACAGTTGCAACTGCAGGATGTTTCTTTGAAAGTGGAGTCTAGGAAAGACCCCGGGTTCCTCCAGATCAGACAGAAGGAGAGGTGCCTCAAGCAGCCGAGGAATGGCAGGAGAGGAAGCAYAGCCTCGGAAGAGCACATCTTCAGTTCAAAATGAACCTCCCGTGACGTTCCCCATCGGAGATGTGTCATAACCTTTGCACTTCTCGGGTTTAACATCTGGGCCTCTGTGTTTAATTTTAGCGTCAGTCCCCCCCCCCCGCCCCCGCCCCTATGACTAAGGGAAAGGACTCCTCTCAGCACCTGACTCCCAGGCTAACACAGGGAGCTATAGCACAGCGGTCACCTCAGAACTGCTTAMGGGATGAATGAAGAACTAAAGACGACTCTGGGCCCCAGCACACCGTGACTTGACATCAAGGAGAAGGCTAGCCTAGGACTCATTAAGTTCCCAGCAGGACTGGTAGAGGCATTTGTTAGACTCATGGTATTTTATACTCTTATTTCCCATTATCAACGGTCAGGTAGGTCAGCCCGTTTGCTGCGGTCCTCCTCCATTCTGACCTCAAATTTTTTTCACTTCTGGCCCATTATAAGCCCCTCCCTTCACAGGTACAGAAATGGTTGAATTTAGAGACTGAGAGACAGGTCAAGGAGAAATGGCATGCCCATGGTCTCCCAGCTGGTGAGGCTGGGAGCCTTGGCCCTACACTGTGAGCTTCCTGGGCCAGCTGGAAAGCCCCGGCCACTTCTTACCAGCTGATGCTGTCATATAGGGCTAGCTAGTCAAACTCTCTGAGACTCAGTCTCTGACTTTGTTAAAGAGAAAATAAAACATCACACAAGTTCTTAGAATCAAAATGAAATAAATAAACCATCAAGTCCAGGATCAGAAGTGTAATTAAAGGGTTAACAGATGTTCCTTCCTTTCTCTCCTCTTCTTTTCCATCTGCCACATGTCGAGGAGCCTTAGAAAGCTAACGGACTCACATTAGCGCATCTTCTAAAGGGGGAGCCCTTCAGTTCCAGGGACTAGGGCCTGCCCACCGGGCTTCACTCCCAGTCACTCACAGAGCTTGCTGTATTCTTTCTTAATTAGAACAAGGACTATCTCCAGGGTGGCTGAGTGTCACATTTCATGTGGGTTTCTGGAGGAGCCTCATCCACCCTCCCAGGGGGCATCTCTTCCTTCTGGACTCATTAAGCTGACATTCTGGGCTTCAGAAAGAGGCACTGAGACACAAGTGAGATGTCGGGGGCCCTTTCTCCACTTTGCTCAGGCCCTGGAGGCGGACTTTTAGTTGCTTCCTCTAGAAGCTTTGTGGCCTCTGGCTTCCTGTTGGATTCACCCTGAGGGAGTTTCCCAGGGCAGGAGACACAGTGAGAGGACAGTGCAGTGGGGAACATATTCCCACCCCTCCTGTCATAACTTCAGGTTGACCATGACCTTCTCTCCAAGACCACAGTGCGACAAGATCATGAATTCCTGTTGCCCCTGCCTTGGCTGGGCCCTGCAGACCACCCTGCCCACTGCTCCTCAAAGCTCAGGGCAGCAGCGGCTCCCTGGTGCCCTAGCCTGGGGAATAGCATCTCCTTGGATTTTCTTACCCCAACCCACACCTTTGCAAATGACGTGTTATTTAGCTCTCCTTGTCTGCCCTCCATCAGTGTCACCTGCTGGAAAGTTGTCTCAGCCCCTTTTGAGCCCTTCTTCCTAGATCTATCAGAGTCCAGCTAGTATCTGGCACTTATAGGCTCAATAACCTGTCGCCATTTGGTGAATAAAACAGTCAATGAATGAATAAGCCATGAAACTTCCACGGAGAACTCTGAGCTGAGAAACGAGCAAGCAGACATGAAAGCCACTTCAACCGCCCTGTCCCCAGGTCAGCCTCAGGGGACAGGAGCTCCAAGAGGGGCTGGATTTCCAGAGGGCGGCCCATGGCTAGAGTCTGCTTTGAGTTAGAGAGACACAGGCTGTGTTCATTTTCAGCTTTTTGGCGTTGTTATTTTTTTAGTTTTAGCACTAGATCTGAATAGGAAATGGCCTTCATGTGACGATGGCAGGGGTGGAGTTTAACTCTTTTATTAACCCCATTTGGGATAAAGCTGGCTCCCACATTGTGAGCCCAYGGTCCTTAAATAGATGACTAAGAAAGGTCCTCTAATTGATACCACCAGAAGAGACCTTTTCCTACTCCCACCCCATCAGAGAAATAACTGTCCTGGGCAACTCTTCCACCTCCTCCTTGAATACATTTCACTTAGGGAAGATTACCCTGGGATGAGACTAGAATCTGCCAATCTGTTTTATCTGTTTTCACCCATTCACCTGCACTGGATTAACAGCTTGGAGGGGGGAATGGGTGGCAAACTCAAATTATTCAAGACTACAGAGTCTTTTCTGGCTTCACTATAAATTGTAAATAAGGAACAGATATGGGAAATGTGCCAAGATGCGATGAAAGCTTTTCAAAAAAAAAAAAAAAAAAAAGATAGTTATCTAGGTTACTCAGCTAAAAAGAAAATTGAGGGGAAATCTGTTAAAATATTTAGATATTTTATTGGTGTTAAAAAGCATTTCAGCTATTCTACCTAACAGATTCCTTTGCAGTAATAAAGTACCACTTGAATGGGATTGTCTTTGAATTGATAAGGAAGATAATGAAACAGTATATTAATAGTGTCTATAAAGTAGGGGTAAAAGGCTTTTTGGCATTGCTGATCAAAATAAGAGGGATACAGCAATTAACTGAAAAGATAAACTGTAGTCAAAGGAATTCTGTAGACCCATGCAGAGGATATTAATATGATCTTTGGTGATTATTTTAAACTTTCTATTTGCAGACAGCAGATATGAAAATTGGAATTTTTATTAGTCTTTCTGATGTAACAGTAAGAAATATCAAAGGGTTATTTTTGACTTAGAAAATGAAGCATTCAATGAAATTTCCAACTTATATGAAGGGAAAATTTTGACAGATGCAGAGGGCAGAAATGGAAAAAAATAGGCCAAAATAAATGTGTTTTTTAACTGGGCAAATAACCTTGAATCAGAAGTCTCCTGCTTATACCTCTAACCAAAGATCATCCTAAAACTGAACCATGGGATTCCCCCACCCTTATCTCAATCTCAATTCTGATCCATGCACGGCTTCTCAGAGCTGCCAGTCACATAACAGAAACATAGCTGCTCAGGGCAAAAGGAAGACTTGGCACAGGGYGGATCTTCCCTCTGAGGATGATGACAATAGAATGTTCAAGACCAAAGACAGGCAAATATGTCTGTTCCAGGAAGCATCTGGTAGCATCTGGTGGCTGGAAGCCCAGCAATCGGATCCCTGCATCCCCACACAATGGTGCTCAGGGAAACTAAGGTAAGCCCCTGCGCGTCAGTGCTGCACTTCTTTCTTCTTTTTCTTTCCTTTCTCCTCCCCTTATCCTCCCCTCCCTCCCTTCTTCCTTCCTTTCTTTCTTCCTGCTGGAGATTGAACCCAGGGCTTTGTGCATGCTCAGCATGTGCTCTACTATACTACACCTCCAGCCCCTGTTGCATTTTCAAAATGGGTAAACTGTTACTGGCTTGGTTTTCTGAGCTTTCTAGAATGCAAATGTATAGCAACACAGCATTCAGCTTCAAAGACACAAAGATGGGGTCCAATCCCAACTCTTTAAGTCACCTGCTATGCAGAGCTGGGATGATTTAACCTATCTGTGCAATTTCCTCTGCATAATAATGCTAACCCCCCCACTACTTAAATATATGTTTGATCCATAGGAAGTATCATGTAGGAAAGGTAGCAGAATACAACAGTTACTAATATGGCATTATGTAAAAATGTGGATGTGTAACCGATGTGATTCTGCAATTTGTATTTGGGGTAAAAATGGGAGTTCATAACCCACTTCAATCTAATGTATGGAATATGATATGTCAAGAGCTTTGTAATGTTGTGAACAACCAATAAAAAAAAGAAATTTAAAAAAAGAACGAAAAAAAGGAAGTACCATGTATTTGTTGGTTACTATCATCATTGTTATTATTAACATCTTAATTGGGAAGATGTTAATGCTATAAAAGAATCGCTTGACAAGTGATATTGAGAATAATCTAAGATTGTTCATGAAAATGTTAAAACCATAAAGCATTCTATGTGTAAGTATGATGGGTAAGGACATCTAATTATTCATTCCCTATATTACAGATGAAAACCAAGGCCCAAAAGGGTACAGAGATTTGCCTAAGTTACACTGGCAATTAGTTCTAAGTCCGAGACTTCTAAGTACAAATTCACCCTGTTATACAGGCTATTAGGAAAAAGAAAGAAATGGCTTTTAGGTACTAACACTTAAGCCATCACTTTAGTAGAGAAAGAAATGCTAGCTGATATTCTGTGGCATCAAGGCTGTGGCCACATTGCCCAAATTGTACTTCATGTCTACAGCCAGGCTGACAGACCAAAATCATCCACTGAGTAGAGAGGGAAAGAGGATCCAATTGCTCCCAGGGAGGTGAATTCCTGTTGCACTCTGGGAGTCTTAGACTTTTCAGTAAACAATCATTTGGGAAGCTTCTTACCATTCGAAGCCTTAAGGATGTGTGAAAGTGCTCAATACACAATTATGAGACTACATATTCCTCGTTCCCTTATTCCATCAATGCCCATCTCAAATTTTGCTACCTAGCTGCACAGCTGTGAACATTCAGCAAGGGCTCCGACCCTGTCTGACCCTCTCCCTCCTTCCTCTCCATTAAGCAACAAGATAAATAACCTTTGTCCTGATTGCTATTTTAATGTACAGGCTAGAGAAGAAATTATAATCTCTATGGAAGGGAAGCATGGTTAGTCAACTTGACATTGCTGTCAGTCTGGAAGCTGGGCATATTGATTTATTCGTTTATAGCTCTGTTTTCCCTGTCACTGGAACCAAGCCCTTCCATCTGTCTCGGCCAGCCAGCAGCATCCAGACATGGAATGAGATACCTGTGAGCACTTGGGTACAGTAATGAAGGGTTTTCTGCGGCAAGATCGTGAATTCCTGTTGCCCAGTGCTTGGGAGTGTGAGGTCAGGGCAGAGAACATTTTCACAAGGCTAAAAAGGTGAAAATGAAAACGCACTGAAGAACCATCTGCTACTTACAAGACTCGGAGGTTCTTGAGCCCAGCAAAGTCCATCTTGGTAATCCTGGTGATATTATTTCTGTCCAGGTCACTGCAAAGGAAAGCAAAATCAGGTCAGATTTTTGCAGGTTACTTCTGGTCTCTTCAACCCAGACTGGCTTGGACTGAGGGGCTGCTGCCTGTCAAGRAGAAGGCAATTGCAATGAGTAATGCTATCCCTTGAGCATGCCCAACGGGTCTCATTGATGCTGTTTGGAAGAAGCCATTCATTATTAGGTAGAGGAGCTTTGTTATATTTAAGTGCCTGACTTCTATGGCCCCTTCTTCAACTACCAAACTTTGCTTTGGATATCCCTCCTTCCCTGGCTTTCAGGTCATGKCACACAAGTGGGGCTAATTCCTCATTTGGATTCTAGGGATCCCAGGAATGGGCACCTGATCCAGGACAGGCTTATAAGTATCTTCAATCCCTCTGATCACAACAATTGGTTGAGAAATGCATACACGACTCATACTAACAATAATTCTGTATCAACTGGGATTGCTGAACTTCAGGTTTCCCCAAAGCCATCTTGCCACCATTAAAAGACAGTGTCCTAGAACCAGAAGATGAAAAAGACATTCTTTGTGCTGTCATATGAGTGTCTGGACCTTCTCAGAAGCCACATGCCTGTGTAGTCTAACATTACATGAGCTCATCTATACCATCACATTCATATTTTGGCTTAAACCAGTTTGAATTGAATTTTCTATCACTTGAAACCAAAAGAATCTTTACTGACTTTGATATATAGCTAGATACCAATAGTCAAGAGTGTCCAATAGACAAACAAACAAACAAAACATCTATTTTCCAACTACTTTGCATACTCCCTGAGGGCAAAGACCATCTCTCACTTAATTCCACAGCCCAACATAGTAGAGTATGTCCCTGGCACATGGTAGAGGTAGCTGCTCATCTCATTCCTTAGGTAAAGACAGCTGCATGAATACTCCTGCCTCCACTTGTAAGCTTATGCTCCTAAAAATGGCCCCAAAGAGGAGAATTCTCCATGAAAGCCTCTGGTAATAATATTGGAGTCAAGGATGAAGGTGACATCATGAGTGGGGGAAACCAGGATGAAGGGAAACTGCATATAAATATAAATATTCTATGTTCACTAACTTTATCTATGAGTATGGATGCTAAAGAAGGAACCAAGAATAAAATGTTACAATTCTTAACAATGGATGATTAACAATTAATCTCTACATATTATGCTTTCCACATGAGAAATGTTTCAGAGATTTGGCCCTTGCTGTTTATACCAGGTATCTGTGAATTGGCCCTCTCTCCTCCAGAACATCTATATTCTGTGGCACATCACTTAATAATCAGACCTGTCTGAAAAATGTGTCATTGAGTGATTTCATCACTGTGCAGACATTGTTGAGTATACTTACACAAACTAGAAAACTACAATGTCCTGAGACAGTATCATCTTAAGGGGTCACTTTTGGATATATGGGTCATCATTGGCCAGAATGTCATTAGAGGTCACATGGCAACCATGGGGCATCTTCCCAGTGATGAACTGCCCTTAGGTCACCAGGTGGCTGGTCAGGGATTCAAACTCAGGACTACTTGGCTCTGGAGCTCAGGCTCCCAAACCCTGACTCTGTCAGAAGAGCCCCACAGCATCCGAGGATTCACATTTCTTTGGCTTTCCTAGTTGGATTCTAAAGTTCCCATCATGCAACAATGCCCCAGAAAGACTTAGGAATGATACATTTACATAAAAGGAACATGGAAACAGTTTTCAGATTCCAGCACTTTGTCTGAAAAATAATCAGGCTTGAGAGGGACTATTCTCCTAAAATCAGAAATAAAAATCGGGCTGGGGATGTGGCTCAAGCGGTAGCGCGCTCGCCTGGCATGCGTGCGGCCCGGGTTCGATCCTCAGCACCACATACCAACAAAGATGTTGTGTCTGCCGAGAACTAAAAAATAAATATTAAAAAAATTCTCTCTCTCTCTCCTCTCTCACTCTCTCTTTAAAAAAAAAAAAAAAGAAATAAAAATCAAGTGAGTCCTCGAGGGACTTCGCCTGGGTACCACCTCCCTTCCTCATCTAGTTTTCCATAACATTCAACAGCCATCCAGGTTGCTTCCTAGCTAGCCTGACGTGGGGAAGCAGCATTTGCCTTCTCAGACCATGGAGCATGCTGCGAAGAAAGAGCAATAGGAGCAGTGGGAAGTCAAGAAGGACTGTGGGAGGGGCAAAAACCAGCAGCCAGGCTGTATGTGTGAGCCCCCAACATCATGCACATTCTTCTCAACTTCCAACTGCACTGAGACACATGTGTGGGGACCTTAACAACTGCAAATATGACAATGCAACTAAAGGTTTAATTATCAAGACACAGCATATAATAGTAGCAACTTGTGCTGATGGATGTGGCACCAATATTTTCAATTAATATTATTATGTAAAGGGGCACAAAATGTGTTGCTGAAATGCAAGGATAAGGCAGGGGTGAGTATCCTGTGGGGCTCTCCTGGCAGAGTCAGTGTTTGGGAACCCAGGCTCCAGAGCCAAGCTGTCCTGAGCTTAGCCACCTGATGACCTAAGGGCAGTTTGCTTCATTTTGAGGCTCTGTTTTCCACTGACAACACAAGGATGATGACCTTGACCTCAATAGCTTTTAAGAGGGTTAAATGAGATGATAGATACACAGTGCTCATCCAACATTTGCTACATACTAAATCATGGCTACTATGATTATCTCATTTACTGGATGTACAAGCTCCCAGCTCTACTCTGAAATTTTGGTTCCTCAAGAGAAGCTGATCACCCTACACCTCAAGCTTTGTGACTTCAAACAAATCTCCCCAAGAGCCCCCTTTATGGCCATCTTCTTATAGGTGAAAAGGGTGTATTTCTTGATTGAAAGAGTGACAGCACCCAAAGGAGCCCCTCCTGCTACCTCTCCATCACAGTGTTTCTATGACATCTATTTCCATGGCTCCTGGGTACAGAGTGGTGCAGGGGGCCAGAGAGGAGGGAAGGGCTCTCCCCACAGCTGAGCTCTGCTATTAGCCTCTGTCTACCTCCACAAATAGAGAAGCCAGGGAGCATGTGGTCTTTGATGGGAGACAGGTCCAGGTTCAAATCTCTGTTCGACCCTCTACTCCCAGTCCCAGCTGTGAATTTGACTAAATCACTTAATTTATCTGAGTTTCCATGGTTGCTGTTACCATCTCCTACGTATAGACCATAGGATGGCGAAAAACCAAGCCTGGCCTTCAAACATGCTTGGCTGGAGATGCAAATTAATTAAATGACACTAATGAGGAGCTGCCATCCCACTCCAGTCCCCACGGCCCCAGACTAGGCTTCCCTGGATGTTTAGCAAGACTTCTTGATCCCTGATGGCCTCTGAAGGAATCAGTACATGTCTGCCTAGGATGAGAAGTGGTCTCACAAGGGGTGACCCAGATGGGGGAGCAAGGATGCCTGTAGATGGGGGGCAAGAAAGCATGCTGGCTGCAAAATGTTTTTGTCCTGACACTCACCATCAAAAGATGTAGGTAGAGTCTGTGTACATTTTCCTTGAACCCAAGCAGTTCCATGAAGACTGCTGGGAAAACAAGATTGTGGCGGAAGTAATTCTGCTGGATGTCTGCAGCTAGAGGAGGCAACAGGTGGCTGCCGGGGGGCTGTGGGGCACTCATCATGCCATGAGCACTCTCTCTCTCTCTCAGCACTTGCATTGAAGCCTCGAGCTGCCATGTGAAAAGCAGGAGATCTGGAGATCTTCTAATGAGACCAGGAGAGGGACTCAAGGAGCCCATCTGGCTGTTAGAGCCTTCTAGCCAAGAGGGCAGGCATGCCGGGGGAACACAGCCTCAAGGCTCCAGCCAGTCACCAGCTGGCTAACTTAGGAGGAACTCGGAGCTCAAACCATCTAGCTAACCCCCTCATGGTTTCCTGGCCCACAGAAACTGTGGTAGATAATAGTAAAGCAAATGCTGTATTTTAAGCTGTTGAGTTTTGGGGTGATTCATTTTGTAACAACAGAGGTAGAACAGAAAGGAAGAGAAGGCCATCTTCTGAGCATTTAGAAGCCCCATTTACATGGTCTCTATGGCAAAGCTGAGACCCACCTGCCACCTTGGCCATCCTCAGTCCATTGTTACAGTCAAGAATGGCTCACAGGGGCGAAGGCACACACATGTCACTCTGGGGATGAGAACTGGCCCTCTCTGAGGCTCAGGAAAGTAAAGACTGCATAATTAGGAATGCTCACAAGACATCATGAGGAACCACTATGATATTCCTTTACTCATCGTGATAATTATTATCACGACTGAATACTGTGGCAGACTGCGGCAGACTGCAGAGTTGACCACCAAACCATTTTGTGCACACATATAGATTACATTTCCCAGTTTCCCTTGCACACGTCCCATGACTCACTCTCATCACTACTACATAGGCAGAAGTGCCATACGCTGCCATCAGGCCTGGAGCCATGAAACTTCCTGCCTAATCCTCCACACTTTCTCTTTCCTCATACGGTGCTGGATTCACTAGGTACAGCAGAGGACTCCCAGGATGGCAAAACCATGTATGAGTTCATGGACAGAGACCTCTCCTGCTTGGCCTCCCCATGTACACACATTAGACTCAGTCAAGCTGGGAAAGGACTGCTAAGCCACCGAAATGTGATAGCATTCCATACTGGCAAGGCCAATGCCTTATCTTTCCATCTGTTAAGATCTGGGTGTGAAGTGCCCTCCAAAAGCTCATGTGTAAAACAATGCAAGAAGGTTCAGAGGAGAAATGATTGGGTTATAAGAGTCTTAACCCAATCAGCAATCTAATCCACTACTGATAGGGACTGAGAAGGGGTCGAGTGTGGCTGGGGGGGGTAGGAATCAGAGCAGACTTTGGGTATATATTTGTAACCTGGCAAGTGGAGTCTCTCTCTGCTTCCTGATTGTAATTGAGCTGCATCCCTCTGCCACACTTTTCCGCTATGATGTTCTGTCTTACCTTGAGCCCTGAGGAATGGAGCTAGCTGCTTATGGACTAGGACCTCTG